ACCGCCTGTCGGGGCTCAGCGAGGCCATGCCCGAGGCCGACTGCGACCTGCCGTGCGACGGCGACGCCGGCATGGTCTGCGGCGGGGACATGCGGTTGAGCTTGTACGTGGTCGAGAGCAGCGGTGCTGCGTCGAGGCGGGCGGCGGGGTGGGGGGCCATGGCGTGTGGGCTTGTTGCTGTTTTGGCCTTGCTGTAGGGCCTCTTGGGTTGCCATTCATTCCGCGTGCCGCAGCAGAAGAGAGGAGCAAAAAAAATTAAAAAAAATTAGACGACGGGCAAATGCCATGCGAGGGAGTTTCATAAATAACAGTTGGACCGAGTAGATACCCCGGACAGTCCTTGATTTTTGGGGGTGGAGAATGCCCTCGTTGATAGTCTCGAGGCTGGCTCTGCACGATGCCTCTCCTAAATACGTACTGACAAATACATATAACCCTTACCAACAACACCAAAACAACAAAAAAATGGTATCCTGTCATGAATCGTAAAACGCCGTCGTCTTCAAAAACTGACGGGCCCCAAGCCCCTCTGCTTGACGGCCTCTTGCACCTCGTGCTTGACCCCAGCCAGGGCCTTCTGCCATCCGCGCTTACCAGGCCCGTTTCCCGGATCCGTGCTGATAAGGAAATCCACCCACTTCACCAGCTGCACGGCCTTGTTCATGTTTCTCTCCTCGAGAACGACCCTGCCGAGATACGTCGCGAGCACCTGCACGTCTGCCTTGTGCGGCCCCTCCTCCTTTGACTGCCCATGCCACGCCTCGAGCATGTCTTTGACGTCCGCCACTGCCGTGACGCCAGTGCCCGTAAAGTCAATCTTGGGCGGCGCCGCCGGGAACTGCAGTTTCCCGTTCGACGACGACGCCCCCGACGCCTCGGCCTGCTGAGGCCTGCGCGCCGGTGCCGCCAAGTTCAGACCGCCTCTGCGTGCGAGCCGCTTACGCCGATGGTCTTCGACGACCTCGCGGCGCAGTTCTTCCGGTAACTCCGCCAGGAAATCGGGATCGAGCTCCTGTAGGTCCTCCTGTGCGGCGGCGGCATCTGCCTGGGGCGGCATGAAATTCGTCTGCATGCGGTTGGCGGCGGCGTCGTGCAGGCGCTCTCGCGTTTTGCGAGCGCCCCCGCGGCCCCGCCTCGTGGGTGTCGTGGCCTTTTTGGCCTGAATGATTCTGTCGCGGCGGGGCGACTGCGGTATTGGCACCGGCGTAGGTCTGCGGCCGTACGACGCGAGAACTTCGGCTTTCATGTCGTCGGGCAGCGCGTGGAAGACTTCAGGGTCGACTTGAGAGGGCGGCGGCGCATCGAAGACGGCGGGACTTTCGCTTCGAGGCCTGGTTGCCGGAGAAGCTGCTCTGGCAAAGGATAGAGGTTGCTGCCTTGACTGAAGTTTGGATCTGATGTCCTGGGGCAGTTCGGCGAGGACCGAGGGATCGACTTGCGTTGGCATGATGAACTGCGTGCCGGCAATATTTAGGGGTGTCGTAGCTTTGATATCGACCGCGCCGGCGCGCGCGATGGCCAGCGCTGGATGCACAGGTTTCGGCTTTTTCGGCGTCAGGGGATCGTCGGCGATGGGATCCTCGTCGAATCCTTTGCCGCCAACGGACAGCTTCTTCTTCTGTGGGCTTTCCGTCTCTTCAATAGGGTCCGTCCTCGACTTTTTGGCCGCCGTGGCAGCACTGAAGGTTGGGAAGGCCAGCCGCTTCTGGCTTCCATCCACAGCCGTTGGCCCGGTCTTGATCGGTTCCAACTTGGTCATCTGCGCCCCAAGTCCTCGCAGGTCCCCGGGCCTCAGCTTGAGAGAGCGCAGTATCGAGACGGCCTCTTTTCGCAATGGTCTCGCCGTTGTGCGTCGCCACCCCGAAG